TTACAACTTCAAAAGTTCACAAATTTTAAAATAAAAGGGTTGGGTCATCTCCTCCTTCATTGGTGTGGCTGCGGCTCACCGAGTCCTAAAATGTTGTTAGATAGGAATGAGGAATTGTCCAGTAGAGAATATATTTAACCAAGCATATACATTTGATTTATAATATGCATGATCACTACCAATACCTATGGATACAATGTTTCCAATTTTACAAAACAACACACCACTTTATATTCACTTCCACATTTCTTCATCCTCACACGAATGGCCAATGGACACCTCAATCCTTCCACATTTGTTGTCCTCACAGGACTGGACAAGTGGACACCTCAAAACATTCCCACATTTGTCGTCCTCAAACAAATGGGCAAGTGGGCACCTCAATTTCTCCGCGTAGGTAAAGCCATAAAACACAGCAAACAACATTCCAAAACTAATTTCTTTATCATAGTACAAAAAATCTCAATACCCTTCAAATCTACCCATTTATTTCTCTTTCATTGTTAGCCATGACCTCTAAACAACATCTAGGGTTTCACAATAATTTTAGGACTTTTCCTCTCATGTCTTCATTTTCCTTGATTTATGCTTTTTACACTATCCTTCATTAGTAGATACTCAATCTTTAGCCAATTTTGGGCAAAATTCACTATCATCGTAAATATTCAAATACATATATATATATATATATATATATCACCCATTCCAATTCATCCACCCATACCATAAGATTTACACACATTTAAACCAAATTATAGATATACAAGGATAAAAATATTCCTATCTCAAGAGTTATGAGAGAGAGATAAAGACCCAAAAGATGAACCTCCACAATAGCAAGATCAAATTGGTTCAAAATGTAGCCCTTGATGAGATAAACAACTTTGATGAAGGAGCAATGATGGATTCTAGCTAAAAATAGACAAAATCTAGTATTTAGAGGCTAGGTTTTTGTAAAAATGGGTTTAGAGAGAGGAGTGTGAAAAGTGTGTCCAAAAAGTGTTTGGATTGAAATTTAACACTGTCGTCTCGAAAAAACCACTCAAGCGAACGTTTCATCACTCGAGCGATCCACACAATACAAACAAACCGCTCAAGCGAACTATTCACCACTCGAGCAGTAAACGTAAGGTCTCAGAAGTTTTGCAGAGCTACAGTGAAACTACTGGAAGCTTGATATCTTCACTCGAGCAACCACTTTACCACTCGAGCAATCTCACCTGCAAACAAGCAAGATACTGGAAGCTCTGTCTATCTACTTGAGCAACCAATTGACCGCTCGAGTGGTCACTCAAAATAGGCTATTACAACATAATTTTAATAATATCGTAGCCTATAGAACATAGTGAGGGAGTCAGCCTTAACTTTAACCATATAACCTATACTGCCACAATTTACACACTTTCCATCCATAACTCTTTCACATATATAACTCTTACAAACTTGAACTTATAATCTGAAACAGTCATAATTAACAATTATCAATCATTCTATGTTGAAGGTCTTGGCTAAACTCAATGGTACTACTAACCCGATATATCAACAACACGAATATACTCACGCCGTCATAACATGTATCAAACCCAGCCCCGAACAATTGTTTGCATTTCCTGTATCCATAACTCCTACTTCATAACAATGATGGAACATGAAGGGCACGCCTATTTATCTCAATTAGTCAAGTACAACTTACGAAGATTTCCCTATCCTAACCACATCAGTCATTTCAAAACGCCTATCAGAAGTCTCTGTAATTCACAACTACTCCATACCTGACTTGCAGTATCAATGCTTGTAAAGACAACCCTCAAGACACTAATCACATAGCCTCTTCCTTATGTCATTCTGTCAACCAAGTTAAACATGACTAACTTCACCTAAGAGTTTCCCCCAATTTACGCATTCATACATACTTAATCAAACCCTAGCTTTTCAAAAATCTCCAACTATTAGGATAAGCACATAACAAAGCTAAATACGCAAATCATTAAGAAAATCCCTACCTCAAAGTAAGGAGAGAAAATAGATCATGCCCCAAAAACCCGCAGTGACGAAAACTTAAAATTTTCAGATTAAAATGTAGCCCTCAACTTGCTTTACCTTTTTGCCTTATGTACAAGGGGTAGGAAATGGCAAAAATAGTTGAAACCTAAGGTTTTGTGGCTTAGGGATTCAAAAATGGCGGAACTGGTGTGAAAGAGAAGATAGGGATGAAAAAGTAGTTTTTTCATGCACTGAGGTGATATTTATAATCTGGACCATCGCGGGCACGAAAGACACAATTGCAGGCGTGATCACCAACATCGCAAGCGTGATCATACAGTTCATAGGCCACCCTCATAGCCCTTCCTGGGCCACACAACTTTCCTATGCAAGGGACCTGAAGGCGTGTTTTGGTCGCTGCCTGGGCTATAGGTGTGTTTTGCATTTGAATTCAAAGCTCAAAACCAAGGTTCCCTGTAACAAAAGGGCTTCAAAGAAGTATAATACAATCTCAAATAAGTGTGAACTCAATAGAAAGGAATAATAAGGGTCGGGTCTTGATCCAGGCCCGCTATACACCACCTGCATGTGTATATATACTAGCGGTTGGCACATGCGATGCATTTGCAATTCAAATAAGTAAAAATAAAATAAAATATTTATTATATATTGTGTGTCAATCAAGTGGTAAGAGTCTTCTTCAACAAATTCAAGGTCCAAGGTTTGAGTCCCACTTTTCCAATTTATCTATAAAAAAAAAAAAAATTGGTTTTGTTTTATTTAGAAAAATGAGGGACACATGACATAAGGAGAAGTAACCAATGGTTGGACACCAAGTCCTCCCTTCACTTAATAATGCTCCCTCCATCCCATTTTGTTGGTCCATTTTTTAATTTTTGAATGTCCCAAAATAAATGTCCATTTTGAAAAGTCAATGAACAAAGTTATGTGATTTTTCCATTTTGCCCTTTCTTTTTTGGATTAAAATAACAATTTCAAAAAGTAAAATTACAAACTAGTCAAATCAAAAATTGCACCCATTCAATCCAAAGTCACTAAACAAAGTTAGTATCTTGATAATTTTGAATTCTACATTGATTTCATGCCAAATTTCAATTTATTTATTTTTTATTATTAGCATGAGCAGAGTAATTATTGAGGGTCAAATTTGGAAATTTGGAAATATATTATCGGAATAATAATGATTCCTTAAAAAGTTGAGATTCTTGACAAGGGACTATTATTTTGGGACGGATGGAGTAGCATATAGAAGATATATATATATATATATATATCTGTGTGTGGAACGAAAAAAAAAAAAGGAAGAGTTTTAGAGAGAGAAATAAATAGCTTCCATCTTTGCCAAGTATAAGGTGAATCTTTGGCAAACCCTGTTCGGTGCACCCATTTAAAAAATTCAATAAATTTGTTTTAGTATAAGTGCCATTTGAATGTATATTTCATTCATGCTTTCAGCATTACCAATAAGCATGTTGGGAACTCACTAAAAAGTGCATTACTTTTCTAGCAAAATATGGGAAAGGAATAAATTTACTTGAGTTTTACATCAATCCAAAAGGTAAATCTTTATTACTGTAGTAGACACTATTGGTTTAGTGTAAATGAGATGATTAATACGATTTCTTATTATGGTTTAGTATAAATGAGATGATTAATATGATTTTTAGAAAAGGTAAACCTTCATTACCATGGTTAACATGGTTTCTTATGCTTCATTACTGTAATAGATATTTGGTTTAATGTAAATGAGATGTGTGATTAACTTTCAGCCAACTTAGGGTTTAAACTTGGGCTTCAAGCCGATGATTTCAAACAGGAGTTTAGCCTAGAAGGTCCTTCTAAATTAGGACCAGTCTAACTTTAGAAGGACCAATTTAACTGTCAGTTATGACACTAGTTTTTAATGAAGAATGGCTTATAAGGTTCATCTAGACTGGTTGACAAGTTGGCTGATTTAATTGGTTGATCCAGTCTAATTTTTAGAACATTGCAATCTAAAAAACACGGATATGAACACGGATACGCTAATTAAAAAAAAAAAGTAAATTATAAATGCACCTCCTGAAGTTTGCTTAAAATACGAACTACCCCCTACTGTTTGAAAAATTAATACCTCTATCAAAAAATTTTATTTAACAGAATTAACTAAAAAAAATAAAATTTCTAACTGTTCTCCTATACAATAATAAAATTATATGAATTAATAATTGAAATAAAATTTTAACATTATTAAAAACTGTTAATTAACTTGATAATTTATTAATAAAATGACTTATTTGTTATAAAATTAAAAATTTTAGGAGACATTGTAATTTCTAGAACTACAATGGGTAATTCATAATTTAAATAAACCTCACGGAGTGTGCTTGTAATTTATCTTAAAAAAAAATAGAGACACGGACATGACAATAAAAAAAAATTATATAATTTTATTTGCCATGTAAATTAATATTACATCCCTATTCAATATTTTTAAAAAAAAATCACTTTTAAATTAACACACTTATTGTTTATAATATATCTTTTTTATGAATGATCAATTTAAGAATATAAATCTAAGCAAAAGGAACAAATATCCAACATCCATCAAAGCATTAAAGAGGGGGGAGGAGGGAGGGGAGGCGTGTTGGGGTTACTAATTGATGTGTTCCCAAAATGTCTCCTAAAAAAATAATAATAAATAAAGGAACACGTCACATGACATGTCCCATAAATAACCCCCGTGTCCACCACAATTACAACACTTAACATGTTCCCGTCTTTGACGCGATTACGGCACTTTTTTTGAAGTGTCGATATTTCATTGATTGTGATAAGTCATCAAAGCATATGAAACAAAGCAAATGCAATATAGGAAAAGAGAAACTGAGGCATATCCCCTGAAGAAGTTCCAACTTTTAACTGCCAACAATAATTGATTCATATTCAAAAGTTCTGCATTCATTCATTGAAAAAGGAAAACAAATTGAAATTTGCAACTGTTTTAATAAAATGTATCAGAAGAAAATTCAAAACCTTGTTCGATATTTTTGGTATTTGCCTTCTAAAGACACCAATTTGGAGTAAATTGTCAATAATCATAGAGCTTAAAACTAATTATCAACAGCCATAGAACCTGAAACTAACTATCAATAACCATAAAACTTTCAAGAAAGCTAATTCATTTGCTTAGTTGCACGCTGGAGTTGATCTGGAACTAGACTCGATAGCTGGAAATGCATTTGAGATGTTACATAGTGATTTCGAACCCCATTCGCCGTCTGATTCAAGCGGTTCGCACACACGAACAGTGCCATCAGTTAACCCCAATGCAAACTAGTTTGATTCATTTGGATTCACAGTAACCACTACTGGGTATACACATGACTACATGGAAGACCAATAAGGAGTTAAAAATGAACATCAGCACAAAACTTAGACATGAAACTTAATGTATGTTTACGAAAAATGTCTAAAATATCATTTTCTTTGTTAAGTTTAATGATTAAAATATTATTTTTCCATCAATTTTACTTAACAGAAATAGATGGATGGTTTAAATTGAAAATTGGAAAGTTAGTAATACCTGTTACTGGATAGAAGCTAAGCAGCAGGATTAATTAAGCATCATGGTCGGAGATTTGAAGCACAAAATATGCACACAGTTCCATCCAAAATGGCCATGTAAATTAACTGGCTATTGCATGAAATGTTGCATGTGAGATCAGAGCCAAAATCTCCCAAACCGTCCACTGGAAATTAAAAACCAAAAAGCATTTTATTTAAACACAAAACAAAGTTACCCACACAACACATTCCAGCTTGATTGTTTCAAACATAGCAAGTTTCAACTCGTGCATGACAAGGAAGTGTTTCTGATCTTGCTGAAACTGAACCTCGGTTTCTGACAGTTTCCCAGTTGATCTTCTTGCTGGAAACTGCATCTTACGTATCCATTTATTGCACTACCACACAATTATCTGCCAAATAAATAAAAAATAAATAAATAAAAACATTGTTAGAGAATCATACCTTTGGGAAGGGCTTAGAAATTCAAATTGTCGAAGTTGAAAAAATGCTAACCTGATCGTCCGCTGCAACAGAAACAGGTAAATTAAGCAGAGAAGGAAAGGCAAGGCTGATGATCGATTTAGAGTGACCCTTCAGCTTGGATTTTACCTTCAGCACGAAGAGGTTAAAAAATTTACTTATCGTCTGAGTTATCCGTTTAGAAAAAATCATTGAATCTATACATAAATAACCTAAAAAAATCACAGGCATCATATATCATAACAGTCGAATCATCCATGCCAATGGCAATTATGTTGTTATTATGATGATAGAAGGCAACGTACATTGGCACAGGCAGTGGACCCATGAAAGTCACCATTGTCTGTGGCATTCCCATATTTAGGAAAGATCAATCTACTCCAAATAAAAATAAGGTTTTTTTTTTCAAGAAACGTGAGAACATCTTTCAACAAAGTCCAGGTAGAAAAATAGAATACTTCAAACCATACCAAAGCACTTGAAAATCGTACAATACCTCAAATGTTGATATGTTGAACAAGGAAACTTGACCCCCATATGTTGAAATGAGGTTAAAGTCATTTTTGGACAAAGCAAAGTGGGGCTTGACCACTTCAGTTCTAACATTAGTTAAGTCATTTGTCATCAATGTCCCCAATTTTGGATGCCATAATTGAGGGGGATTCTTCGTCTTTGCCTGCATCAAGACAGACTTCAATTCTCAACATAACAATCATGAACTAATATTTGAATTTAAAGAGAAGCATGCATGCATGCATACAAATGAATGGGCATTTTTTTTTATTATCTTGGATTCATGTGGATACCTCCAAAGCAATGGATTGCATTTGATGCTATTGCTAAAATGGTATTACTGGAAATCGTGTACATTAGCTTGAAGATCTAAATTAGTCAGCAGAGAAACATGTTAGAAGAACTAATCTTTATTTGGCAAGAGCTGAAACGCACGGACACAGACATGACATAGATACGACATGGATACGCCACCTTCTAAGAAGTGTCCTTGTATCCAATATTCCAACATAGAATGTTGTTGAAACAAAGGTGCATCTAAGGTAACCAAAATGTAACATTTATAGCATCATTTTGTACCAAAATGGATGAACAACGATTGGCCATATCTACACTACAATAATTAGTGAATCGCACCTTAGCCATTTTGACAGAACCAAGAAGCGGCAAGGGCTGAATTTGAGCAAGCCGACGAATTTCTTTGATCTTCAACGTCTTTATTGGTTTGATGACTTCAACTGTTTTAGGAACATCCTTCGAGCTCCTTTGGTCCCCATTCTAGCAAGTCCAAGTTTTACGTTATTTCAGAAGTGATATCAAATATACATATAAAGACATGGAATACATATAAAATGAATGAAATAGGACAGATTGTGAGAACAAAGAACACATTTAATATAGAAATATACCAAATGGAGAAACATTACATGCAAAATATAAATATATATTTATATATCTACGTTTCCAATTTTGATAGGAAATTTTGTTTCCGATGTAGCGAGAAAAAAATAAAATAAAATAACATAAATAGGAAATTTTGTTTAGAGCTCCATGAAATGATTTAATGAATTGACCTTAGTTGCAATAATGGATACATGCATTTCATAAGCTTGCAATGACTGAATTCCATGGAAGGTTCCTAAGATTTTAATTCTGTTGTTCCTCACAGATGCAGCCAGTAATGTGCCCTCCTTGTTGAAGCAGGCACACGAAGTTTCCTTATGATTTGGGGGAAAAGAAAAAAGAAAAAAGAAAAAAGTGAATTGGACTACAATTTTTACATGTAGAATATGTAATACAATATAGAAACACAAATGCCATTTGTAAAGAATAAGATTTAATTTTAGCACAATTACGAAAACACTTACAGTTAAATCTTCCCCAACATCAGAAGTTGCCAAGAGATGCTTGCTATCCATTTCCCAAATTTCTGGCAACCAAGAAGCAGTGTTTGGTTGTATCAAACTGCACAATACCCAAAGAACGTTTTTGCAATCCTTTGTAGTTTATCTGCTCAATACCCCTATTTTCTATCCATTCAACAGGACGAGTCTCCCCACTTTGGTTTGTACCACATGAAAAAAGCCTACAACGTGTTCAATGACAATGTTGGTATTTCAATTTTTCCTCTATATAAATTAACAGATAAAAATCATGTGGTAAAATAGGTTCAGAAGATCTACCTTTTACCATCGATACTATAAAGTATTATTGTGCACCCTACTCCACCTGATGCATCACAATGAACCAACGGTCTGGACATATCATATAACCATGCTTTTCTCTTTCCATCGGTCGAGGTTGAAAAAATAAACTAGGAAATAGGAAGCAAAAAAATAATATTCAACATATTGAAAATAAATAAGATAAGCCATGGAAGCAAGAAGTACACATGGAACAATTAGAAAAGAGAGATTTGTGATCCTTACATGAAAATTTTCCATGACATGAGGGCAAACACAAAATACAAGAGCCTCATGCCCTTCAAAAGTAAACAAATTGGCACCAGTAGCCACATCCCACACCTACAATTACAGATATAGTTAATCTAAGAAGTACGGACACGACACGCCAATTGTTATATTTATGAATATATCATTCAAAAATAATAAAAAAAAATGTAAGATAACACTTACTTTTATAAATTTACATTGCTTAAGATGGGAAACAATACAACTAATTAAGGCTCCTCAATCACCTTAATAGTTTGTCAACACCATCGGTAACGATCGAAAGGTTCTCGCTGGTACTAGCAAAAGCAAGATCATTTACACTGCCAATATGAGCCTCGACCTGGGAATCAAAGGATTTTACATCAGAAATAAAATAACATTGATATGCAGCTCTATAAATCAAAATGTACCAGAACCTACCACTAAATGGGGCTGAACCTTATTTTCACCATCGCAAGAGTACAAGTGCAACATGTGATTAGAATGCGCAGCTCCCGTTTCATTAGAACAAAAAACAGGTATGTTAATCAATTACAACAATTCAAATCACAATCCATTTCAGTGTTTTCAGACCCTATAAGAATAAATGGACACTTCCATATATATACATATGAAGGATAATTTAACTCACCAAATAAAGAACCAGTTGGGCTCCATTTTATATAGTTAACTGCAGCGCATGAATCTTTGACTAAATCTGACTGAATTTTAGAACGATTAAATTAGATTTCATGTCATCCTGAAAATTTAGTTTCATATTACAACTTAGGTATGAAATTGACTTGCTTTTAATAATGTTGAAATTGAAACATCGTTCCAAATTCGGAAACTTAATGAAACAAGCTTCTCCCACAAGCCAACTTTTCACAATCTGAAGTCTCCCACATCAGTTCCAACTGACGAAGAAATCACAAGGAGAAAAACAAAGTCAACATCCTGCCCTGGCTTGAAGTACAAAAATACAAAAAACAGACATTGAAGTGCTGACCTAGAAGTACCATTGGTAGAATAGGACGAAAACCCATGGTCAGTACACATGACCCTTGAGTCAATGTCCGAATGACAATCATGGGCAATTCATCAGTTATGTTGAGCACTGGACTAGCACATCCATCAAGACTACAGACTATTTGTTTCGTCTACAAGATATATTTACAGATGTAAAATACTGAAAAGAAAAGTTTGAAAACATAAATATATATAAGACGTGCCTTTAGCAGTTAGGTCTAATCCGTCTTACCTTATCTGAACTTCCAGAGGGTATTGTTTTAGTGACACCATCATGACCCCTGAGGCTCCAGTGAGCTAGAACTATGCAAGATTATGTGGTAAGTTGAAATTCAAAAACACCGCACAAATTTATTAATAAAATCATTTTAAAAGATGACGTTAACTTAGAGCTTAATGAGGACAAGTAGTTGAGTAATAAAATCATTTTAAAAAGATGACGTTAACTTAGAGATTAGCGGGGACAAGTAGTGGAGTAATATAATGGTTACCTGGTTCATTGGGGGAGCCATAGTTCCTCCAAAAACAGCTGGATGATTTACAGTTGGTTGACTATGCATCCACATCTTCTAAGGGCTTTGATCGGATACTATGGGTTGGAAAGGCTGAAAATAAAAATGTACATCAAATAGAAACTCTCTACCAAGGGAAAAAAAATATGAAAAAAAAAACGCCAAAGGGTTCACAAAAGCAATTCAATTAACTTGGTCACAAACCATATTTGAAGGGACTAGGAATAAACCTCCAACCTATGATGTGGATTTATTTGTTTGGTTGCTAGTAGTTGATCTCACATTTGAAGAACTGGGTTTGGCTACATTTGTGATCCACAAAAAGGATTTCCATTTTAGGATTGGAACTAGGATTTTCTACAAAGCATATGCTGCCAATTTAAGCTGCCATACCACACCCAAATCAGCATTAGAATTTTTTTTTTTTTTTTTGTCTAATAAAGCCTAAGTAGCACAAACACGGACACATGGACACGACTCCGAAATGCTAACACATTAATTTTCAAAAAATGTAGGACACAACACGCTTGGGACACAAAAGTGTCCGATGTTATGAATTTGATTTTTTAATCAAGACACATTGAAGAAGAGTTGGACAAGCTTTTAGAAGTGTCCTAAGAGTGTCGTGTCGTGCCGAACACGACACGCTTGAATCTGTCAACATTTTGTCAAGACACGTTTTGTCCATGCTTCTTAGAATCAAGCTTATTACCTTTGGTTAATGAGGTTTTGTGACCTTGAATCTGCCAAGTTGGGGAAATTCAGCCTATTATGGAAAACAACATTTGCCTTGATAAGGTCCCTGGACACAACCACCATATTCGATCTTGTATTGTTGCATTAGTATAACTAGCGAGTAGTTTATTTTCTCTGCAAACCCACAAAATTTTGGCATTCCAATTCAAATACATAAATGTCATCAAACATTACGTGAGAATAGATTTTGTTTAGATTTCATACCTGAAATCATCTAATGTCAATAGCTTGGTCAAATCATTGAACACGTCTTCATTAAATGCCGAAAAAAGTTTGAGTTCATTCACAAAGATTGCAATGGCTGCAACATGATCACACCTAAAAGATCCCAACAAATTCGAGTTGATGCAAGATTAAAACCACTACATAAAGGGCACAAGAGAGAGCAAAAACTCGACAAAATTGAACAATATCCATATCCAAGGCCTCAAGGTACTTCTGTGTTCTCAATTCGAAAAAGATCTTCCTAGAATATTCATCATCTCCAACTTGGTGACACCAGAAAGGTATCTTTCTATTACCATTAAGTATCAGTTCCTCAAAATAGTTCATGTTAAAGAAGCAACACGATTTACATTCAAGCCTATCCAAGAAAAGGGAACAAACTATGATTAACCGGAAACTTTTAAACAAGCAAGACGTGAAATTGGAAAGAAAAAGGTTAGGATTATACTTGTGAAGAGATTCACTGTTCTTCTACTCATTGGGAAACTACAAGATCAAGAAGACGAGGTCCCTTTTGAGCCCTAAATTTTTGGCTTCTTGCTTTGAGTTCATCATGTTCACTTCTTCAGAACCTCAAAAAATAAACAAAGTCCATAACAACCTATTAAATGACAAACGGGAAGGTTGATCTGTTTGGTTTGACAAAAAAAGTTTCCTTGCAAATCTTGTTGAGAGAGAAAATGAAGTTCTCACATAATTCTCAATTAAGAACAAAATCTAATATCAATAGGACAAAAACAGAGATGCATTCAAGATAATACAAGAAACGTCAAAATTAAATGACATTCTAATATCAAACAAGAACATCCAAAATTTAGAATAAAATTTAAAAAGGCAAGCAAACAATTACTAGTAGGATCAAACAAGAACTACTATAATCGACTAGTCTGAACTAATCATCACATGCAAAAACATCTTTAATGCTCAGAAACCAATGGAAAATTAGGGTTAATAGGCCAAGAAAAAGTAATTAAAAAAACAACCTTTTTGGAGTGGAGATTCTAAAAATGGTAAAAAATGAAGATAGGAGAAATTTGGGAAAGTTCAAGTGGAACCAAACTAGCCTATTTGGAAGTTAAAGAGATAGAAAAGAAAGCCTGAGCTTCAATGGCAAAGAAAGTAATAGAGCAAAATAGAACACAAGTCTCTGCTCTACAACCCTTCTCAAAGCTCTCTCTCTCTCTCTCTCCCCTTTTTGAGCAAGAAAATGGGTTTAAAGTGTCCGGAGACTCACTCTGGTTCTCTGTTTACTGTATCTCTCTCTCTCTCTCTCTCTCTAGGACTACAGTTTTGGTAAGGGATTTGGTGGACTGATTTATAGAGGGTCGCTAGATGATAAGTACACGGGTTTATCATTTTAGTTGAATCTTGGAGGGAAAACTACACAACAGTGAAACTTTTACAATAATATTCACGTATTAGTGAAAAAAATTATAAATTTAATTATTAATATTTATAAAATTTATCATTGATTTGATTTTATTTTTTTTTGAAAAGATATATAATTTCCTCAATATTGTAAGCACGTCCCACTCTTTACTATGATACATGTGCAACACATCTGAAAAATAGATCAGAGGTAATTTGACAAAGTCATTATATATATAGAGAGAAAATTTATGATTATAATTATTAGTATTGATAAAGTTTAATTTATAATTATTTTTCAAGTTTTAAATTGATCTGAAATTTCTCCAATAAAATTTTTACACTAAGTAACCATGTAAAATAGTATGAAAATGATATTTTTTTAAATTATAAGTGGCAATAATAATAATTTAGCAATGTTAGGAATCTCATATGAATTACTAAATATTTTATACAATACACATATTGGTGTGAGATCTATACACAATAGATATGGAACCCATCTGATGTGAGTCCCACACTTATTTACGTATTGTGTAAAATATTTAGTACCAACCAACCAACCAATTAAACTAACTCTTAAGTCTCATTAAATAGGATCGGCTATATGAATCATTCATTTTCATAAAGGATCTAAGTGGCTTTTTTACGTGTTGATTGTCAGCTACCTAACACACAACCCTTTTCCTTTATCCGGGCTTGGGACGAGCGGAGTTGTTAAACAATCCTAGCAAAGTTTGTGCAAAATATTTAGTAATTCATTTAAAATTTCTAACATTTTTTTGTAAATATTTTAATTTGAAATAAAATAATCACAAAACTACACATCATGTTGTATAAAAAATAAATAAATAATATATTTGTATAGTATTACAATAATCCATTTGATGACACTGCCACGCCGCCACTTCTCCACTCTAACTAACTGTGTGGGTGATTTTCCGACCACACTGCCCGCTTAGTAACCAGCTGGAGAGCACTGGCAGAATAGATGGCACCTGACGAACCTGCAACAGAAATATAAGAATCCCGCGGTGGTTTCGACCACCCGGGGGCACTCCGACGATCAAGTCAGTATATCTCTCAAAGATAAATCAACTACTAAACTCACAAGCTTGAGTATTAAAAGCATACCTTAGACCCATGGGGGTGCCTCTTATTTATAGCCAACTCAATCCTAGTCCCAATAGGAGCCTGGCCCTACGAATGAATAACAGAAGATTGTTCCAACAAAAATTAGGAATAGCACTTTAGTACAAAACCATATGGAACCTTTTTGGCTATAATTGAACAATACACATAAATATATACATAAATAATTCAACTAAAATTATTTTATATTTATGTTATATTTTATATTATGATAAAATTAATATTATTTTTTTATAATGCTGGACTGAATTATACTAGATATCCAGCAGTACTTGAAGGATACTATGATGCAAATTGGATATCGGATACTAAA